GTTTTTCAGAGTTGTTCCCACAGCGAAAAAAGTGTCTTCATTCATACACTGTCTTTCGAGTACTGCGGCTCCACAGATATTATTAAAGGTCACATGTTATATAAAATCCACTACTCCATGTTTTTCTAACAGAAATATGTGTCCCTAGTCCGTCAACAAACCTCCCAATGATGAGAAAAGTCCATACTCTCCGTCTTTTGCCTGCTCCACTTTTCAGAAAATGTGTTCTGAGCAGGGCTGAAATAGAGGGGTTTATAGGCATAATCAAATACAGGATCAGAGTGGATTTAGAACAAGAAACTTCACACACATGTTTTGGGGAGCTCTGAGACATATTTAAACTTGTTGAAGAGGAGGAGAATATGTGACCTTTAATGTACTGAATAAACAACAAAGGCCCCAATACTGCACTTTGGGGAACCTTGCACAATATAAACAACCACAACTTGTTTAGATTCGTTGATGATGTCTTGTGAAGGTAGACTTTGTGAAATTAAGCTTTATTTTAAATTAAGCACAATGGGTAAGCATGTTGTTCAGTCCACCAGTGACTTAAGTTGCAGCAATTTCTGAAAACAAAGACTTAAATAAAACTTAAAGTCTTGAAAAATACAGCAGAAAAAGACACAAAAAGAGCATTCACCACTGTACTTGTTACTGTAAGAGTTAAAATAATGTTTTGTTGTTCTGTGCAGGCAGCGAAGAATCAAAGTGAGGTGGACAAGCTGATCCAAGGTCTGGATTTTAACGGAGACTCTGAGGTGGACTTCAGTGAATTTGTTGTGTTGGTAGCTGCTGTAACCTGCGCCTGCCACGACCGCTGTTCCAAGTGAGCACACCCCAAGGTGGGGACAGATGGCGCCAGCAAAGAGATAAAAGTCCCTGTGGTGACTGTTTGGTTTATCCCCTAAATTAAATGATTAACTTACCACTTACATGACTGTGAAGTTTATTGCTACTTACATGAAATCAGGAGTGATGAAGGGTTCACATTCACTGTTGTTGAAGTTTATCAGAATCTGTTGATGAAATGTATAATAAACAGAAAAAATTTAAATGATGCACTGTGAAAATCAAATGTGATGGGTGTAGGTAGAGCAGAAGCAAACAGCTTTCAAGATTAATCAAGTGCACACCAGGATTGTTCAGATTGTCTTTAAAGTTTAACGTATATAAAACATTGGAGTGAACAACATGTTTTGCAAAGTGGCTTCCTCAGGTTCATCCTTTGCAGCCACTTTGTCAAATGGTTTGTTCATGCAAACGATCCCTGGTCTTAAAAAATGTTTTACAAGACTTGCTCTGCTCTGGTAGACAAATGTACAAAACCTCCAGTTCTTAACTGATAAGGAGGGCAAAAGGCAAGAGAAACTTTCCATCCATGTTTTTATTTATTTTATTTTATTATTGGCATCCAGAAAGTTTCCAAAAACATTTATTTCACACCTGCTTTGACAATTTTACAGCACCAGAAAATCCAAGTGTATTAGGTAAAGAAACAAACAAGTGAGCTTATTACTTTTGTATAAATCTATATTTTACTTTTGAGGAAAAAAGCTACTGACTCTATCTATAATATAATCAAAATGAACGATTTATCAAAAAAAATCACCACTGTACAAATAAAGACATTTGAGCTAGAAAAGGTTTTTTTTCTAACAGGCTGTAAACATGTTTATTTGGGCATTTTAATTCACAAGGCTTTTGGAGCCAGCCTCAAGTGGACACTTGAGAAAATGCAGGTCTTTGCACTTCACTTCATTTTTAAACACAAGATGATGCCGCTTGGCCGAGGTTTCAAAATACCCCTTTAGTAATACTCTTTATTACTTAATTCAGTCAACATCTGCTTTTTCACCCTCAGGACTGAATACACATTCCCACATCATGAGTCCGTATTGAAGTATGCACTCTGCAGGTTTGAACTCTGTACATTGTAGGTAGAATTTTTTGAACAGTGTCTCCATGCTCTCCATGCCAACAAGAAGATGTTGTTCATGTGACAGACCAGTTAAACCAGAAGAAATGAAAACATCTTTTGTGTATTCATATCCCTCTCACGTCTCACACTCTCACACAGCGGACATTGCAACACTGCGTTTAAATGTTTTTCTGTAGTGGGGATAAATATAGGAAGTACAGTTAAGACCAGCATATTGTTTTATTACCTCAGTAATTTAATCATATTGATTGTCTTCCAGAATCTCACACAATTGCATTTGTGGTTATTAACAAAGTCCTTCCTTTACGTAAACAAGGACACACCTTGTGCATTATGTAATAAGCCCCATGGGCGTTGTAGGCCTCAAGTGTTGGCACAGTTCAAGCCAACATCAATCGTGTTTGACCTTTAAAATTTATTTTTTTATTATGAAAAATCCACTTTCATAGTGTTTCTGAACATATATTTGGCTAACCTGAGTGTCTACCTACCCACAAAATGTGAAATAAACCCATCCAGTCCTTTGTTTGTGGTCTGTATAAGTCTTATAACACAGAGAAAAATGCTCTGTTTCTAATGTACTCTCCTTGTGATGTCACAGTGGGATTCTGGTAAAAAAAAATCCCCTCCCCTCCCCTGATATCTCCACCCATGGACTCCACCCCCAGCCTAGAACAAAACTTTTACGCAGGTCCGCCATTTTTATTCTCTCTACAGAGGAGTGATGTCTACGGGGAAAACTCAGGGGGGGTCATTACATTTAAAGAGACACACACGCCAAAACGGAGCGTTCTGAGCGAGCTGGTTTATACAGGGTCACAAACCTCCTCTGGTGCTTGATTCATGTTATATTTTGACCAAATCACAGTACAGATGTTTCATTTAGACCACAGGGGGACTGTTTGAAAAGGTGGAGAAGGGGGAGAATATGTCCTCTTTAAAAAAAGAAAAGTGTTTTGTAAGAGACCCCAACCGGATTTTACAGAGGGTATAAAAAGAGGGTCCTGACTCTTTTTTCCACTCCATCTACTGCTTTGCCGACCCGTGTTTGTCCTCTGTTTTCCAATCAAGTTTGGAATTTGCCATTTTGGAACATGTTTAGACCTTTAAAGAATATGCTCATGATGATGGCAGTACAAAGACCATAACATCAGTCAAGACAGGAGAAACTGGTGAGAGGTGTGGACAGAACTGAAGACCGTCAGGATGAGCGTGCAGTGCAGCTGGTGGTCAACTCCCATAGCTCTGATAAAATCCTGGCAACTTGTGAGCAAATAAAACTAAAGAAATATCGCTCCTTCAGAAAAGAATGCATGTGTCCATTCAAAATACATCCACTAGAGGGCTGTTTTAATAACTGACAGGCTTTGAGTGTCTGACAGGGAGGTTCCTTACAGAGAGAGAGACATTTTTGTTGAAGGTGGGATCGGCATTATTCAAGGGAAACCACAGAGAGATGGCTAGCTATCGACATCCTTGTCAGGCTGTGGAGGACTCCACCTCTATGTGCATGTCTATACATGTGGGAACGTTGGCATGTCTGTTGCCTTTTTTTAGAAGATGGCGTGTTGTTTTTAAGATCTAAGATAGCTGCCCAACCTTAAGTGAGTATTTTTAACCACAAACCGTCATGACTCGGCTCTCTTCAAAGCCACCAGACTCCTCCGGAAAAAACATGCAATGTTTCCTTACAGAACGCATGCTCTGTGTTCGAAATCAACCACTACTGACTATAATAATAATAATGCATTAGACTTTTATAGCGCTTTTCTATGAACTCAAAGACGCTTACCAAAGAACAACAACAAAACAAAACAGTGACAACAATATAACAAAGACATAGTCAAAGAGAAGGAGGATGAGAACAGAGCTGGTTAGTGGTTGTAGGCGATGTTGAAGAGGTTAGTTTTTGGGGACTTCTTGAAGGGGGAGTGAGGGTGGGAGCGGCAATGGGGAAGGCTCTGTCTCCCCAGGACCGATGGTTGGGGATATGAAGGTTTTTGCGTCATCAGTAGGGATGTAAAGATGAATCGTAAAATCGTGATCGTAATCAATTCCAAGGTGTCCAAGATTCACATCGGTACTCTGAAAAATGAATCGTAATAAACAAAAACTGTGTGCAAATATTACAAGAAGACAGAGAACTACACAAACAGCACAACCAACATGATGCAGCGTTTAATTAAAACCTCAATGTGAAGCTCCAATCACCTCCACTTGTTGAGAGAAAAAAATACCTTAAAAGGCCCAAACCAAACTGACAAGTGAGTTTGAAGCCCCTAAAGGAATCTTTCTCAGTCATCATTTGTCTACAGTCTCATTTAGGAAAATACATCGTGAGAGAATCGTATTGTGAATCTTATCGCACCGTGAGCTGAGTGAATCGTCATCAGACCTGAGAGTGCGGATGGGAGTGTGCTGGTGTAGGAGCAAACTTTTCTCAACACTGATATTCACATCCCTGCATCCTCTCTCCTCAACTGACCCGGGAATCATTTTCCGCCTGCCATGAAGGATCTTCCACTTCCTTAAAGGATCAATCTGTCAGATATCTTATGACTTAAATTATAAAAATATGCGATGTCAATGCTGGCTCTCTCTCACAACAATGCAGCAGCCGGTATGTCCTCCTTCGAGTTTCATTAAAGGCTTTATATGTGATTTTTTGATCCAGTAGATGTCGCCCTTGAGCACCAGCATGAAACCAAAACAACTCGCGGTGCATTGTTGTGTTAGCATGCTAATGCTAGCGATCTTTATTATGCTCGTATCTTCACACTGCATGTAAATTTACCTGAAATGAGCGTGATCTAGAAACACAGTTAAGCAGTGAGTACAGTATGTTATTCTTCTTTTCTCTAGTCCCTCAATTAAACAACTTTTATACACGAGGGGAGGAGTCAGCCGGTCGTCCCAACAATGTAAACAAACTGAAGATAGGACTCTGAAAACTCTGAAAACATCACAGACAGTGGGACTCGGGTGTTACACCCATTGTAGACAGTCATGACTCACAGAGTTATTTTCAGAGGATATCCTTGATTTCTATTATATTTAAGTGTGAAAAATCACATAGAAAGACTTTAACAATTGTTTTTTTTTGATGAAGATATCAGTCCATCTTTATGTGAAATGAACTTAAAGGTTTTCTACATTTTTTTTACATGAGGGTTTGAATCATTGAGAGTTTGAATAGAAAAGATCTTTATTGTCATTGCTATAAAAAACAGTTTAGCAGCTCTTCTCAGCTACAATATTAATAATGTAAAGACAACATTCACAGCTGTTTGTAAAGGTGAATCAGCTGTGCAACTCGCCATCAGTACATGGCATCCATAGACTGTTAATGGACGAAGAACCCATCTGTTACTGCAGAGGGCTTTGGAGTCCCATTTGTGGCGGTCTCCATGCTGGAAATGCCGTCTCACCCTAACTTACAGTCAACCTAAGGACAGCCTGAGAGTTGGAGCTGAGGCAGGTTCTGAGCCTCATGAAAGTATGTGAGTTGCACCTGGGCCTCCGGCGTCTGCAGCCCCGGGCTCTCTGACAGCTTGACAGCTCAGTGCTTCGCTCTTGTGAGAGAAGTTTTCCTTCCTGCACATAGACGACAACTCACTGCTTTATTCTTGTTCTTTACGTCGAGCAGGGAAAAATAATTTCGGTATTCCCGAGACAGAAAGCTCACGGCTGAATGGTCACTGTCATGTTTGTTTACAGCGTGCAATGTTCTTTCTCCCAGGATGCTACTGCGCTGACGTTAGCGTAACCTCGCCCGCTTTTTGTCAGCTGTTTAGCATAAAGTAAACGAGTAACGAGTGCTTTTAAACGTCAGTTATTGTTTTGCTGTTATTGAATCTGGAACGTAACTAATTAATTACTAGTTACCGCAAATAGTAGTGGTGTAACCATAGGGTGTAACAGTAATGCATTACTTAGCAACGTCCCAACACTGGTGACAGGAGCAGTGTTTGGTTAGTTCCCAAACTGGCGACCCCTATCATTGTTCGATTCCTGGGGGGGAACGTAATACCCTTACGATGAAGTTAACGCAGCCATTTTAAGCCCAATCCCTTTACTATCAGATTTAAAGGGGCCGTTTGCACCGCGCCACTGAGGCTGTTGCATATGATTTATTGAACAGGATGCCAAAGACCTGTAAAATGATCGCACTAGTTTTCTTGAACAAATGAGCACATATCAGAGTCTTTAAAAACACTCCACGCCCAAAACAGGTTTACTCTTCACTAATGATGTAATATGCACAGAGGGCGTTGTAGGGCTTGGGTTGTTCCCAAACCTGTGTTTTTTCATCAGGTATAAAGAGAGCTGCCTTCCTCTGCCTTTCACTCCATCTGCAGCTCTGTCAACCCGTGTTTGTCTTCTGTTCCATTCTTAACCATGTCAACACCGCAAGCCGTCGGCATCACAAAGCTGAAGGTAGTCGTTACCCTCCTGGTTGAGACCTACAAGGAGTATGCCAGTGCTGGGGCTGTAAGAAGACCTTAGACCACAACGAGTTGAAGACTCTGATACAGACTGAGTTTCCTGAACTGCTCCAGGTACATAAACTTTTGTGTTTTTCCATGTGTTTTAAGTTTCTTTATAAGATGCATGCATTTCGATTGATTCAATCATGATAGTTTTTTGGACGTTGGCATCAAGCACAACTTTGACTTTGTATTTTTAAGGCTCTGCTGATGTTGTTCATGTCTTGTTAAGGAAGATTTTGTGTGATTTAACCTCTAAATATTTTTAAAATGTCCAACCCATCATTACTTCCTGCGTCAACAAGAAGTTTTAAACGTTTTTAAATCAAAAATACCTCCCTGGGACTTTACAAAAAAATAACTTTTTTAATTTTAAAAGTCTACAATTTTGATATTGAACTTGTTTAGAGCTCCCCATTGCACACACTGTACCATAACTTTAATATTATTGTTCTTTTGTTGGTTTGCACAGGACCCAAGGTGCCAGAAGGAGATGAAAGAGGTGACTGCTCTGTTCGACCATGACGGAGATGGTGTGGTCACCTTCGAAGAGTTTGCTTCGACCATATCTGCTCTGTCCTGTTGCATGAACCAAATGTCCCAATGAGTGAACACTGCGTCCGCACCCTTGGGTGGGGCCAAATGACACAGAATAAATCCCTGTGGTGACTGTTTTCTTGAACAACTGAATAAAAATCACTAACTTACCATTTACATGCCTGTGAGGTATTTTGTTCTTCTGTGAAATCATGATGAATGAAAAAAAACTTGCACACAAAGGAAAGTTAATCTATCATTGTTACTCAACTTTTTTTTGTTAATGATTTATTTTTGGGCTTTTTGTGCCTTTAATTGAGAGATAGGACAGTGGATAGAGTCAGCAATCAGGGAGCAAGAGTAAGGAATGACATGCATGAATTGTGGGATTTGAACCTGGGCCGCCTGCTTGGAGGATCATGGCCTCCATACATGGGGCGCATGCACTAACCACTGCGCCACCAGTGCCCTGAATAAATTAAAACTTGCACACAAAGGAAAATGAATATATCATTGTTAGATTTAGTCAAACATTTACGAATACAAACTTGTACATTTACTAGAATTAAGTCGTAAGAGAAGAGAGTCCTACATTTACGAGATTTGTTATTTCAGCCTGTAGTTAAATCAGTAGTATATAAATGAGGAGCATCTTGTGAAGGTACTTAAAGATTTCACAAATAAGGTACGTGTTCAAAGTCATAAAGAAGGCCTGCTCTGTGATAGGCTGCAAGCTGGACTCTTTTGTAGTGGTGACAGAGAGGAGGACTCTTAACAAACTGTTATCCATTATGGATAATCCTGATCACCCTCTGCACACCTTACTGGACAAACAGCGGAGCAGCTTCTCCAACAGACTGATACAACTCTGCTGTCACAAGGACAGATACAAGAAATCTTTCTTACCAAAGGCCATAACTCTGTACAGCAGCTCACCTCATGCGAGCAGAGAACTGTCATCATGATAATATCTGTCTCTCCATACTGTAATCTGTTCTGCACATGTTAAATTTACAAATTATCCCTGCACTCATGTTCACTTCATTTGGCTGTCTACTCGCCGTTATATTGTATAGTTTCTGCTTATTATGTCACACTCACGCACTTTAACTTATGTATCACTGATTGCACAACTCTGAACAACTCCCCATGTCAATACTGTCCATTTACATCTACCTCCAGCAAAGTTTGTTGTATTTAATCTTTTCATATTTAAGACTAGTAATGCTTAGTTAAATCCTGGTTGTATATATTCTCATTCTTAGTTTTGATATTTTTATTTGCTTTCTATTTAATATTATATTGTGTTTATTTGTTCATATTGTGTGTTGGATAACCTGCTGCTGTAACGCCACAATTTCCCAGTTTAGGATCAATTAAGTAATTCTATTCTATTCACACTGCTTTTTTCAACTCATAGCGCCTTTTTTACATACAAGCCTATGGAAAAAGGAAAAAGGATGACGCCTTTTCAAAAAGCACTGCGCCCGACTCCTTTTTCAGTTGAATTGTTTCAACTTTTGGTTGTTCAGGGGCATCCTCCTCCTCAAACGTCAAAGCTAATGCAAATGGTTGCACTGTATTTGCCATTTTACCAGCCAACGTTATCGGTAGAAATCTATCTGGTAGACGGCCACTGAGGCTGGGCAGGTCACCTAATCAGTTATTGAACAGGACACCAAAGACCTGCAAAATGATCGCATTAGTTTTCTTGAACAAATGAGCACATATCAGAGTCTATAAAAACATTCAATGCCCATAAACATGTTTACTCTTCACTAATATGCACAAAGGGAGTTGTAGGGCTTTAGTTGTTCCCAAACCTGTTTTTAATGTATAAAGAGAGCTGCCTGCCTCAGCCTTCCACTCCATCTGCAGCTCCGTCGAGTCTTCAGTTCTACTCTTAAACATGTCAGCCCAGCCAGAACCATGCATGACAAACCTGAAGGAAGCCGTTTTCCTCCTGATTGGGACCTACAATAAATATGCCAGTGTTGAGGGCTGTAAGAAGACCTTAAGCAAGAACGAGTTCAAGACTTTGATACAGACGGAGATGCCTGAACTGCTCGAGGTACGGTACACACCTTGACAGATAGCTGTACAGACTGTGGTGATAATTGCGCTGAGATATGATTACTTTGGAGATATATCAACTAATTTAGTAAATGCTGCTTATTGTGGATTTATGCTAAATTTTAAAAGAGGCTAAGGGCACTGGAAGAACAAGAAAGCAAAAATAATGATTACCTCTATCTAATTTTTGGATTTATTATCAGGGTTAGATCAGTGTTTGAAAGCATCGAACTTTAAGGACCCTCATGGTCAGTGGTTCTCAACTGGTGGGCCGTGAATCAGAGGTGGGTCGCGAATGTGTGCCTGGAAAAAAAAAATCTTCATAAACATGTTTTTTCAAATCAGTTTTTTTTCCTTCTGGCACGTGTTTTTGAACCGACTGATGTCCTTCCCCATTTTTATTTAGAAAATAAATCTGATTGGTCGAAAAATGTCAGAAATTTGGGCCACAATTTTTCACAGAGGAAGGTGGTGGGTCTTGAGGCTAGACGAGTTGAGTACCACTGGTCTAGAAATGTTTGTGTTTTTCCATGTGTTTTGTGTTTCTTTATAAGATGCATGCATTTTGATTGATTCAATTCATCATAGTTTTTTGAGCGTTGGCATCCAGCACAACTTTGACTTTGTATTTTTAAGCTCTGCTGATGTTGTTCATGTCTTGTTAAGGTAGATTTTGTGTGATTAAACCTCTAAATATTTTAAAAAGTCCAACCCATCATTACTTCCTGCCTCAACATGAAGTTTTATCCGTTTTTAAATCATAAATACCTCCTTGGGACTTTACAAAAAAACAAAAAAAAAGTCCGCACACACTGTACCATAACTTTAATATTATTGTTCTTTTGTTGGTTTGCACAGAAGTCAACGTGCGAGGTTGGGATCAACAAGCTGTTCACAGACTTGGACCAGAACGGAGATAATGTGGTCGACTTCCAAGAGTTTGTTTCGGCCGTAGCTGATCTTGCCTGTTGCTACCACGAGCTCTGTCCCAATGAGTGAACACTTCGTCCGCACCCTTGGGTGGGGCCAAATGACACAAATGAAATCCCTGTGGTGACTGTTTTCTTAAACAACTGAATAAAAATCACTAACTTACCATTTACATGCCTGTGAGGTATTTTGTTCTTCCTTGAAATCATGATGAATGAATAAAAACTTGCACACAAAGGAAAGTTAATCTATCATTGTTACATTCATGACAAAAATACAAACTTTTATACGGGACTCGTTTTGCTCCGGTAGACGATGAAACAAAAAATTGATCTCATAATATTGAAATGTACGGAAGCCCTAAGCGGACATTTGAACAAACTCTGTTTTCCTCACTTGGAACCTTTATGGGAAAACAAGTAACCCATAACCATGTGGGAAATCACTGTTAAAAAAATTACAGATGTATGTCTGCTTTGACGTCCTTTAAGAGGCAGAACCCGGCTCATGATGATGAGGGGATTGGACAGAGGGATAGAGGGAGATGCAGGAAGAAAGCGACTGAACAATTAAATGCAAAGCAATACATGAAATAGATTTAAAGCTACAATGTCAGCAATGCTGGTATGTGCAGTGTTAGTTATAAAAATGTACTTTTGAATTGCATCAAAGTGATGTCTTTGAAAAAAATGGGCCTCAAAACATCACAACTTTCACTGCAACTATTTTTGAGAAGCTGCAGCAAACTCCAGATTCATAGGCCACATGGATCACAATAAGGCCCAAAGAACAAATGTGTCAACTCAAAATACAACCGCCTAGTGCTTGTTATTTTTATTCTTATTAGTATTGTAAGTGTTTGACAACATTGCAGGGAGGATCCCTTCAGAGAGAGACAGAGAGAGAGGGCGAGAGAGATGTTATGTTAAAAGGTGTGGTTGGCATTAATCCATGAGAGCCAGAAAGAGTTGGCTTGATTCCAGCGTTCTTTGCAGACTCATCCACACCCAGTGCACACATAAAGGCTGGTGGAAGGGTTGGCATGGCGATGATTGCACACACAAAAAAACGTTTGTCCAGTAAAACAGGCTTGAGAGGGGCGGAGAGCGAAGAGATTACAAATGAATCAATCATGGATGATGTTTTTTCTTTGCCAGGTACCCCAGGATAGGACTCCAATGCAATAATCCAGCCGGGGAGTGATGAGGGCATGTATGATAATATTTTTACGACACAATAACATGATTAAAAAAAAGACAACAGAGCATGAAAGTGAACTGCAGACGGACACTACTAACAGAATTTGAAATGTGAAAGAAGAATAGGAATGTTAATAATCTTAAACATGTTGAGACTGTAAATCGCTTTAACACACTTGATTGTCGAATGACATTTCATGTGGTGAGTGCTGAGCGGTGGCAAAATCAGGTTGCCTGATTGCCTCGGTCATGTTAGAACAATAACTTGGCTTCCTGTTTAAGTAGGACATGAAGGGGCCTGCATGTGAAGACACACAATCTCCTAAGAGTTCTGAGAAATCAAGACGAACATGTTTTCACTTCATCTGAGCGGTGTGACAGCATGCTTCCAATCAATTTCTTTAACAAAGAAAGATTACATTTTGCATATAAAGGTGTGCAACATCATCTCTTTTGCAGAAGGGGAGAAGAGGGAACCTGCAAAGTCTCAAGCGAGTGGTCAGAGCCGCAACTTTTTTTTCTCTGATGCAACAGTTTGAGCCGCCAAAGCACAAAGCATGTCACCACTTCACAAACAGCACCATGCAGACATCTCTGTGGTCGCATACGGCGGCTATTTCTAACTCCTGGAGGTGACGAACACAAAAAGACAACAAGGACTGAAAGGTAAAAGCTCTGCAGCGTGACTGACATAATAAACATTACTGGTGTTGTTTTATGGCCTTCAGCTGGAGGGTCATCGTAAGAACAAAACTCCACATAGTAACGTTTTTTTCTGTTTGTTGAATCAGCAAAAAATTCCCAGTCAGAAATAAGACATACCATGGAGATGGTTGCCAAGTATTCTATTCAACAGACTTTCAGCTTCAGATTATGTTCCTTTAAAAACGCAGGTCTTTGACTCACTATTGCATCGGTTTTTATTTACGTGTATACGGCACCAAACTATCTCAGGACGCTTTAAAAAAGAGCAGG